TAAAGCAAATAATGCGTAGAACGCAATTTAAAGTGTGTTGAACAAGGATCCGTTTGGCTTACCAGATGGTTGACGGCCGCGATTACCTGAGCGAAAATAATCTTGGCGTCGGGTTCCTCGAAACAACCATTTTTAAGGATAAATGTGTGTAAATCTCCTCCAGAAGCATATTCCATCACCAGATAGAGTCTGGTGAGTGTCTCGATTACCTGAAAAAAGGCAGCAGTCAAGTGTGAAGTGATGCGGCATGAAGAGAAATGGTCATTTTTAAAACATATGCTTCCTTGATATTTGTATGATTGGAAAAAATGGCAATTTTAATTTTTTTTTTCATTTACACACGAAAGTTTCGAGAAGATTGACCAAAACGAAACCAAATTATTTGGCAAATGAGCTAGTGCGTTTTAAGGAAACATCAAATGGCAAATTTGTCAGGCACTATCCGTCAGCAAAACCAATGTGAAAATAGAATTTATCCATTCCAACTAAACGCAAATATGCTTTGAATGCATTTTAGTTTAGCACGTTTCGGCATAAATGGCTGGTTGGCAGCTTGTTTAAATTACTTTAATTAGGTAAGAATTTGGATACTTATTATTTTTTAATAGGCTTTACTTAATTGTAATATGCTATATCAAAGTATTAATCTAATCTTTCTTGTGGTATGAAAGCAATTTCGTTAAGGTGATCGAGGATGGGTAGTTGTATTTCCCATTGCTTTGCTTCTCAAAAAGGTATGCTCATCTCGGCTTTGATAGACTCCAAACGTGCCACATGGTTCGAGTCTCCCTGACGGTACTGATGAGACCGGCTCAGACAAGGTATCAACTTTAGTCCTATGTGAAATCGAGTGGAAACATAATGTCTATTCATCTTATATACATGATCTACGGGTAGTCCTGGAAACCTGCATAAAGAATAAGAACATAAGTGAACGATTTACCCACTTAACTGTGTCACGTGGAATTATGCCCCCTACGATCTGGTGAATAGACTTGAAAATGTAACTATTTTATGTTTTTGCTCTGCTTTTGCCAATCGTCATTGACAAATTTCCTCATCTTAAAACCTCACGTATATAATAATCCTGAATTTTTTTTTCCAGTGAAACTTATACATGACTACTCAGTAAACAAATTTAGGCTGGTCGGCTGCGCTTCAGACAT